CCTGTCTATAAAACAAGCCCTCTGGCAGACCCCCCCCTGCCACAAGACTGAGCTACAAAAAGCATAAATCAGAGCATTTCTCTTGCTATTCTAAACTGAACTCTCTCTGATGCCTGGCATGGAACAGCCCTTCTCTGAAAAGACAACTCGCAGCCAACAGCATGGAGGTCAAAGACAGCACAGCTGAAGTCTGAAGTCACTGCACCTATGCTTGCTCACCAGTAAAAAACAGTTGCACCAACACGGAGGCTGCCAGTGAAAACAGTCCACAGTGACATCTCAACAAAACAGTGTTTTCCATGCATTTCTGTTTAGGAAGTAGAGATGAAATACCTATGCAAACGCATACAACAGCCTGATAAGCCTACGCATGGTGAAGCTTTCTTTTATACTTCTTCGGAAAGCGACACATCTAGATGCATATACACACACATGCACTTCTTTCCCCCCTCTTATTTGCCAAGTTATGTCAACATATTGGCAGACACCGTGCTAGACAATAATGTATATTTTGACAGCGAGAGACAGGATACAGATACTGTTAATCTGTGATCAGATGCTCTCCTGTGGTTAAACGGGATTACTGCAAATTAGAAGTAAGAAACTCACGTCTGACCTTTTTCCTCTGAAACCATACATTCCAAAAGCAACCATGGCTAGCAGAGAAAATAATAAATACTTGTGGATGAGTACCATACGCTTACAGAAGCATCATGCTCCTCACAACACAGAACTGCCAACGGAATGGTAGGAAAGAGGATGAGCCTCAACCCCCGGCGGGTCCCGGCGAGCAGGGGAGGTCCAGCTTACCTCCCCAGCGCTGTGGCTGCGCTGCCGAGTCAAGTGCTGCCGATGGACCAACGCGCTAGTGGGCCTGCTGCTCTGCAGGGGAAGCCGCGGGTCAATGAACGTGGTGGTGCGGGAATTGTGGTCAACAAAGAAAGCCTAGAGAAGAAGAAAGCAGAAGGAATTGATAGCCAGCACTTTTTATTTTTTAATATGCCTGAGGTTAATGTCTATTCAGGATTGAGGTTTCATTCGCCGATGTGAGGCTTTGGAAAATCCTCCTCACGTCACCGTGGCTCACGTTTCCCTTCGGCAGAAGTGGGATAACAGTTTTCCATCTCACTGGAGGGGTGAATTCTTTAATGCCTTACTTCATTCCTGTCTATAAAGCCCTTTAAAATTCTCATCTGACAAACATCAGAAGTAGGAAGCTTTATTATGATTGTCAAGAAGAGAAAAATTAAATGTTTAATAAAAGTAATCTGGTGTATTCTCCCTTTCATTTCCATATAAGCATCTAAAAAGATGTCATTAAGTGGCAAAATCATTCCCTTTTGTGAACTATTTACCATATAATTACGAACACAAGTGGGTGTATCTATGTCAAGTGTATGATTACATCCTGCAATGACCTATGATTACAGGCCGACAGGCATTTTTGCCATCCTCCCGCTACAACCACTCTAAGTTCACTAACATTTCGGGGGAAAAAAGCAAACAAAAAGCAAGGCCAGTCAGGGACACAAAGATGATGGCAACAAAAACATTTAAACCAGGCAACCGGTGAGAACTACCACATACTGGCTGGTCAGCCATTTGCTGAAAGCAAGGTCACAGGAGCACGCACCCTGGGAAATGAAAGCCTCCTATGGTTCTGTCCAACTTGAACCAAAAAGGTTTCTCAGCCCTGCAATTTAAACTTTTTCCAGTGCTAGTGCTGCCCTTGGAAACCAGCACTGTTCTGTTTCAACACACTTCAGGTTTTCTCAGTCACAATGCTGGAACAACGTGGAAGCGGCAAAAAAAAGATCCCAGTTTTGAGCCAGAGCGTTAGAGGAAAGCGACGTCTGATTTGAGGAATCGCAGAGTCTGGACCTGCAGCAAGGTGGTCGGGGACTGCGGGAGCCATTTCTGTGTCTGGATACCAGCGAGGTCCTTTGACCACAGTTTCATAAACAGCTCAGTACAGCAGCGTCAGCAAAGGGAACCTTCTCGCCTTCCCCCCTTGTTTCGCCCCTCGCGCAGCCTCCTCCTGCCTCGTGCTGGCCACGCAGTGAGCCCAGCCGGGGAGCAGGTGCCGGCCACGCCTGCTCTGCTCCTGCCCTCTCCCCGCTGGTTCCTCTCACCCCGGGCAGCCCGCTGGGGAGGAGAGGAGAGCGGGCCTGGCTCTTTCGGCAGCGACGCCATCCCACAGTATTCCTAAAGCCATTGTTTCAGACCGTTTGGCACAGCCAGACCAGAGAAAATGCAATTCTTCTGACTGCCATGAAGGCAGGGAGACCAACCAGCGTGTCGTGCTGTACAGCAACTAAACACCATTATGGATTGTGGTGGGAGAAAACGTTCCTACTTCCATTTCCCAAGGAAGGGAAAGCACATGGAGGGACAGCAAAGCTGCAAAGCCGCGGAAGCACTCCAGAAGCGGGCAGCGAGCCTCCTGCGGCCCTAACAGCCACCGCCTGCTCCCGTAACCCGCGCCGACGAGCACGGACTCGCACCACCTGGGCAGCAAGGAAGGCCGCCCTTTCCACCGCCTGCCGCAGCTGCAGGCACACACGGGACACTGACTGTTCCGCAGTTCAAAAACTGCGAAGCGCACTCAGCAAACGCAATTTTAACGGCATCGTCTGAGCCTGATGCAGGGCTTGCTCACCTTGACAAGCAATTGAACTGTCCCTCGCAGAGCAAGTATACCGACAGAGAGTATGAAAGCAGTGGGAAAGCAGAATGAAAGCCATTCTGAAATTCCAGGTTTTGGCCTGGAAGCAGCTGCTGGAGCTTAGCCAGGCTTTCTGAAAATTTTGCTCCTGATGGTTAGGTTTATTTCACTTATTAGCAGGTGGTTGGTATAGGGATTTTTTTAACATCCCCACATTGACTATTTTATCTAGTCTGGTCTATGTGTACTTATAAGATGCGAAGCACTTCCATCAAAACAAACACTGATTTAATTAAGTCAATATTATACTCCAAAACCACTTAGGAAAATAAAAGGTACTGCCTGGATATAGAAGAAGGTACTACCTAGAGTTGTACTACACAGTTCTTTGAGTTAATGCAGCAATCTAATATTGCATGCAGTGTTCTTAAGCATTATATTCCTATATGTAACTCAGTTTAAACATTAAGTTAAAGACAATCATGCCTTATTAAATATAAATGCTTGCAGGCCAGCTAGCAGCAGCCTACTGTAAAATAAAACAGAAATTAGTACTTTGAAGCTTCAGTGAAGATAATCATTGGCATTTCAAGGCTTTGGGCTAATCTGGACACTGGCACACAGCTCATAATAGTGTGGCTCGCAGCCTCCTTTCAAAAAAAATTCCTCTCATAACTCCCATCTAGCTACAATCCCTAAATCTATGATGCTTGAAGAGACTTACACAAGATGGGAAGTGCCAAAACTACACTTAGCTCATCAAACACGGACAGTTGCCCGAGTTATCTCCCCAGTTAAAGTCTATGAAACATGCTAAAATACCTTTTCTTCCCACTGAAGACATTTATAATCAGTTACAATGGATTCTTTCACTGCAGAAAGAAAAAAAGTCCTACAATAGCTTATTCTGTATTTGCATGTCTTGCAGGGATCTATTTAAAAAGCACATATGTTTGAATCTGGCTTGAAAATACGAACGCGTGCTTACACATCCTGCACAGATGCCCTGGGCTGCCTGTCTGCGCACACACGTGTGTACGCACCTGCCCGCAGCCGTGCAGAACTGCAAAGCCACCGGACTGGGTTCCGCTGACGGACACATCTACCCTGCACGATGCTTCCTCCCACCACCTTCTCCGACGGTCTCCGGCCTCCCTGAGGTCAGCGAGCGACGAAGGCTCATCCGCAGTGCCAACCAGACACTACGTCCCAGTCACACCAGAGCTTCCAGGGAGAGCCGCGTGCCAAGCGGGTTTTATCTTCTGTAGGGGATACACAGAGGAGCGGGCAACTGGGCTTCGTGGTGCAGCTCTGCAGGGAGCTCAGAGGCAGGCAGTCCCCAGCTGACCGTGGAAGACAGCCCACAAAGAGGACAAGCAACTCGGACCGCACCGAACACCGGGGAGTAAAAACTCCACTGCTCAGCACTGCAGACGGGTCAGGACGACGACCGCTGCGCCTTGTGACAGAGAGCACCAAGCCTCTTACTACGGCTTACTGGGGAAAATAAAGGAAAGCCCCACCGCAGCAGGAAAGAGTAGCCAGGGAAAGAAAGTATGATTATATATTGTGGCATGGCTAATTTCTACTTGCTTGTCTTTAGTTTTATGCTTTGATAAGGGCAACTCCAGTTTCGTTTTGGTCTCATCAGGCTCTGGTCTCACCATGCACTGGCCATCATCTCTCTGGAGTGGTGAATAGGCTTTTCTGCTGACCACAAGTGCTACTTCTGACAAAGGGAACACAACAAAACAAAAATGAACAATCCTGAGCCTCATTCAAAGTGAAGAAATCCCAGCGGGGATCTCTTCAGTGCTTTCTCTTGTTGATTAATGTTGCAGTAGCATCACTGCTACCAGCTCCCACACCAGAAATCCAAAGGTCTATCTAATTCTCTACACGGAGTGCCTATTAAAGTCAACTGAAAACTGCTGCATTCTTCGGGAGGAAACCGGCTTCTGAAGCATCGAATATAAAAAGAATCACTTAAAATGGAAGAGAGTGAAGGAGGCAAAGAACAAGGTTAGTATAACTGCACATTCCTAGCTGTGTTACTAATGAAAAAACACAGTGCTTTCCACAGTTAATATATCCAAGAAGAAAAAAAAACCTCCAGCTCTTTCTACCCTTCAGTTTAGAATCTGCCTGTAACCTTTTCAAGCATCAAGATTGTTATTTGTATGGACACTCACAGCTTACTCCACCAAGACTGGTAACCGTTAAGAACCGAGAAGCTTAATGTGCCCACAGTCCCAACTGGGACTTCTCACAGGAGCCGACAGCCTTCTCGCTTCCTCACGTGCTAAGTACAGTCTGTTTGCAACCCTCCTATTTTCCACAAAGAAAAATTACACTCTAGATAATGAGGATACATTAGCTTAAAGTTACAGTAAAGTTGCATTACTACTGTAAAAATTTCTGTTCTTTTATTTTAACATATTTTGTTGGAAACCAAAAAGTGCTACCTGCTTTAAAAAGCAGTAAGACTTGCAGCTATTCCAGATCCCAATTAACGAAACTTCCTACATACAATTTCTTGCCCATTAACCAATATATAACCAGCAGAGTGATCATCCCCAGAGCTATCCCAGTCTTAAGTGCATCCACTTTATCTCGGAAAATGATGCACAGTGGACCTACTTAGCATTTAGGTAGAGGACTCACCTAGGGAAATGGTTAGCTATTACAGACAAAAAGTGCAAATAATGCATGCTAATGAATTCTACTCAAGACTTGGGAGGTTGAAGAAGGGAAACAAAAAAGCCCTAAGGAAAAGCTTGACAGTCAAACAAGAAAAAAGCTAACACAAATGGTTCAACAGTAACTAAATAAAACTCAGTAGTTAATAATAAAGTAACTCTACGTCTAAATTCTCTTACAGGTACACACTTTACACAGGCAAAACTCCACAGAGCTTCACTGAACTGCCTGTATTTACACAGCAGGTAATTCTTTTCAAAAGAAGTTGTAAACTTCCAAGGGAATCTAAGCAATTTATTTCAGTGTAAAATGGCTACAGATTTTTTAGCAATTTTCCTTGTACTGATTAATGCCCACTTATCAGTCTCCTCCTCCTTTCATACAATGCTTTGTCAGCACAGCCAAGAAATTCCCATCTTTTGGCAAAAGCAGGATAAAACGAACCGCCTGCACTTCTGCTCTCGTTAATCCACGACCAAGCACTCAAGTGTCGCACGCGCCCGGCGGTTACCTTGCCCTGATGGTCGTGTTTCCTCCCCCAGCCTCTCGGCAGCTCCAGCTGCTTGTTGGCAAACATGTTGAGGAAGCCCACCAGGTCCCGATTGTGCTGGTAGCGCTCAAAATGGTGGGTGTCCCGCCGGACTTTGGTGATCATGTGCTTCAAACACGTGTTGTTTGTAAACATGCGGTAGGCACTCTGAGAAATAAACAACAAAAGGAAATACTTTCAAAAGATGAAATGTCTTCTTACTACAAAAGGCAGCATTTCCACTGTTAATAAATCATCTAATCATCTATAAAACCTTAAAAATAATCTCCAACTCAGCCACAACAGTATGAAAAAAAAATGGTCCTCTTCCTGAGGTCCTGGGATAAGCGTTTGATGTTTCTTACTTTGCTCAAGATATACAAAAGTTTGTATATAGACTTACTTCAGCAAAGTGTGAAATGTATTACATTCCACCCTTGTCCCCAGAACTGTGAAGAATTCTGTAACGCTAAAATTGCTTTAAAAGTGAGATTTCATAGATATTCTCTGATTTCTGGAATAATGAGTCAAATGCAGCCATGGAGTACTGCACTAAAGCTCGTAAGGTTTCCTGCAGGACAGAGATACACAAGCTTGGAGAACTTCTCACAAATCTACACAAATATTGTTTCCACCTATTGATTTTTCAGAAAGACCCTATCATTGTATGTCCATGTGTAATTTATGTAATCAAAATAAAATAAGAGAGTAAAAGGAGAGCACTGAGGAATAGGGAAAACTTGAGATAAGAGGGCAAAATAAATGGTTAACGTCCTTGCCCCCCCAAAAACCCAGCCGACCAGAAACCAGGTCTTTCTCTCAGGATTGGCAGTCGGGAGAAGTGAAGACATCAGCCCTCCTATTGCACTGTGCCGCTGCCTAAATCACCCTGTGGCCCTACACCTCTACTCTCTGGCCTCTGTCCTGCTTTGTAGTTTAAATATTTTTTTTATTTTTTTCAGAATTTAAAAAGCACTGAATTATTAACAAGTGTGCTTGCAGACAACTAATTATTCATTCCATTACTTCTGTTTACAGTATACATCCTGTTACACAAAGAAAGAGAAACATGGAAATAAAAACTATAGAAGCAGAAGCACTGAAGAAAAAGAAAAAAAGGAAAATATATATTAAGATGCTTTTTTGTTTAGTGTGACCTCTAATATATTTTGATATCAACCAGACAATCTGGAGGAAACAGATCATCCCATAAGCAGCAAGGTGATCTTAAAAAACAAGCATCATTTTCATTCTCCGGATCATCTCTCGCCCTCTGCAAAGCACAGCAAGAAAGCTATTGCTTCGACAAACAGATGGGTTTTGTATCAGAAGACAGATGAAGAACTGAGTGGAAAAATAAAAACTGCAGAAGCTATACAGCCAACCAGGATGACTCTGAGCGCCACCAATTGCAAGGAATGATGATCAGTGTTTGAATTCACCCAGCCTCCCTACGTACTACCAGCATCTCAGCACCAAACACTGAGCAGTATCATTGCACACGAGACAACTGTTTTCACAGGCACGGATTTATGAGAGGCTTCCACCTGCAGCCGCTATACTCACAGGGTTAGAATGCAGCACTGTAAAGAACTCTGGGCTGATAAGGAATTTCACAGGAGGAGACTGGAGCAATAAAGTGAGTCTGGATCTGGAGGTAGAGTGAGGCAGCACATTCTCTCTTCGAAAATCTAACAGCAAAGTGAATGACAAAGACTTCCAGTGACAATCATCACCAAAACATCACCGCAAGCAACTGCATCGATCTGAGTCACACAAGCAACAAAAGCACTAGCTATACAATTCTTTCAGATTTATTAAGTATTCTTCATATAAGCATACCTGAATTTGTTCTAATATAGCACTGAAGTTCCTGAAAATATCACGATTTTAGTAACTCTCACTTGTTGCTTTTGGTGACTGATCATTAAAAAAAAAAAAAAAAAAATCACATCCAATGATTTGGGTCACCAAACATGTGCCTGTGTGTAAGATGCACCTATGTTGCTATACTGTAGCTGTAGGCAGATAAGCTATTTTTCAAATGCTAAGTAATGGATATAAAAGTCATTTAAAACTTAAAAAGGTTTCATTCCTCCTTTAAAAACAAACAATAACTCACTGCCATTAACACAGCCCTGATCTGACACGGTACTGAAGCAGCTCATGTAAGTAAGGAACAGGTTGCCAGGGAAGTACCTTTCGAGTTTCAGTAAACAGTTGGGTCTTCTCCTAGCAACTGCAGAAGTGCACTGATTTTTCAACAGTACCAGGAAATGAAAATATATTATGAGTGGTATCTGCCATGATGTTACAACCGTTGCCTCCAATTATCTTTGAAAATCAACAGGACATTTGAATACATATTTTAATGTAATTGAAAAATGGCAAATTCAGATTGGGTCTGCAGTGATGTTACTCTAAAATGCACGCCGTCTTCTCCATTTCACAGTTCCTTTCTTTTCTACATTGCAGTACTTGCACACTTCCCCATCAAATGGACATCTATCATGTAGAACACAGACACCACGGATATCAAAGCACAATAACCCACAGGCAGGAAAAGGAGAAGAGGGGCAGTGAATGAGACTCCAAACCGAGGGAAAAGTAAGAAGAAATTATAAAGCAGGAGGACAAGAACAAAAGACAGAGTAGAATTCTAAATACGGATGGGTAAATGTTATGGGAAAAAGGGAATGGGGGAAATAAAGACCTTCATTCCAAGCATCAGAGGAAACCGGAAGGGTAATAAGCAAAGGAAAAGTAAATGAAAACGAGGATTTCCAGAGCCACTTCCCGACAGTGGACCCGAAGCCGTCCCACAGCAGGCAGGTCTGCGGAGCGCCAGCAGCGCGGCACAGGCCCCCGAAGCTGTGCCTGCGCGCTCGGGCTGGGAGCGTGTCCCGGGCTCGCGCGGCGGCTGCGCGTCACCTCCCTAGGGGTGCCACACCTGGGTGGGCACCACTCACGTCTCACGCAGCAGCTGCAGACACGTCCCCTGTCATAACCCAGCTAATCTGGAAACCTGAATGTGTCACCAGGTGGGTTTTTCCTCCAGTTTAAAGGGTTATGAGTTTGATCTACGAAAAGCTTATTCAGCTGAACTTCCTGACTAGGGTTCAGCCTGAATTTGCTTTAAAATTATTTGTTTACAGCACGACAAACCACCGAGCTGCACATGCGCACAGAGAGCAGAGGAAAAGGCTAAGGCAGAAGTAAAGAAAAAAAAAAAAATAAAGGGAGCTCTTGGCTAAATATCACAAGCTCTGCAATGATTTGAAACTCAAGATTCTTAAGGGTGGCATTGCGTGGGTATTAATTTAGGAAAGAGTATTGTAAGAGAATATCAAGAACATCCAGAAACCAAGCCAAAGCACATAATAACACGCAACTACCCAAGGGACTGGATGGGTAACAAAGTAACTTTACAACTGCATTACTACATCTGTCGCAGGAAGGTGACCAAGGAGAGAACTTCTTAGCAAGAGGCAAAACTAGTAATGATGCTTAGAGCTCACTAAAACAGATCTTTCCTTCTGTCTTCATTCAAAAAGTTAACACTGAGCAGACAACCAAAACAACTAAAAACAGAAGAGGAAAGAACTTTCTTCTTCAGCTAGAATAGGTTAAAAGCAGGTTAAAGACTGTGGTGCAAATCCCAGATTTCCAAACCCTTTGGGCTTGATCAAACGTAATATAAAACACTCAGGACACCAGGTGAGATATCTGAGATATTGGTGATTATTTTGGAGGCATGAAGGAGGTCTCAGAAGAACAGAAAAGGGATAAATATTCTACCCATTTTTAAGAGTAGGTAAAAAAAGGATGAAGGAAACTATAGATGAGCTGACACACTTTCTATTCTCAGACGCATGAACCAACTGTCAAACTACTTAAGGAAATGAGAAGACAGCAGAGAAACACAAATAACCAGGATTTCTGCAGAATGAATCATTGCAAACTAACAAAGTTCTTTTCTACTACCTGACTGGTGTAACGGCCACATATTCTGATGTTCCTAAGGCCTTTAATCTGTTTACATAATACTCTCAGAATGATGTTGAGGGAGAAAATCACCTGAAACAGATGAAGCCACCTGGAGAGGGGTACACAGCAGTTTGGAAAAATGTCCTGAAGAGTAGTTATGATTTACACCAAACAAAAGGAGTACACCAAATACTGTTCCACTAAGATCTGTCTGGGTCTGGTCCTATCCATTATTTCTATTAACAAGTGAACAGGGAGGACAGAACTTGCTCCAACTAGGAGATGCTGCAGTACTTGGACTGCAGGACAGACAAGACTCAAAACCACAGAGACCCATCAGGAAAGCGCAAAGCCCTGTGTGCAGGTGGGCATAACCAGCTGCACAAGCCCCAGAAGAGAAGCAGGCATCTGTGCCAAAGGTCTGCACACAAGGGTCTGGACCTGATCTTCGCAGATCAAAAACCTGAATACCGGTGGTTAGCGTCAAACTATCAGAAGGAAAGCAGTCATTATGCAGGAACGCACAAGGAGCATTGTACTTAAGACACGTGACATTTCTGCAATCTCTTCAGTACAGCAGAGTCATAATTTTATTTATTTTTCTGAAATATTCCTCAGGAGCTGCAGACCAACTCAAGACAATCCTGAGTAGGGCAACAAACTACCTGGAGACCTCAAAACACAAGCCACGAGGAAAGACTAGGAAGTAACAGGTTTAGGAATACATTATAAGCAAAATGGTGTGAGCAGACTGTCCAAAAAAGTTGCAGAATGTCCAGCAACCAAAGAACAAGTTACAAGAACCATGAGATGGCACTTGCTGCGGATGGTTTAGGCATAGCTCATCCTACCTGTCTTCGGCAGGGAGATGAAGCCGATGACTGCCCAAAGTCCTTTCTAATCCTACATTCTGCCATTCCAAAATGCAGCAGCAGATTCAAAATCTTTATAACCCAGACCACACAACTTTACACTTTATCACTGCAGATGTCCTGCCTACATTTTTACCCAGTCAGGCACTGACAGAAAATGCTCTGAATCTCACGTTCATCTCTGCAGCGAACTGAACAGGCTGAGCCACAATCTTCCAAAATTAGCAATGAAAACAAATGGTTTCATTTTCACCCAGACTTGCAGGGGCAGAAGTTAGGTTCTGCCTTATGTCACTCTCATTAAATCACCTACGAGATGAGTGCTCCCTTTAGAGAGCAAAAAAAAAACCGCAACTTTTTTTTGTTTTAACCTGCATTAGAGTGATGAAAGTCAGGTTCCTCTCCAGCTCCATCCACGGCATTTGTATGCTCCTCAGGCCTGTCGTTAGTCATCGTTCTGCGGATGCTCTGGTACCTAGGGTCAGAAAACTGGACTTTATATATAGTCTGTGGTAACCATGATCCAATTCTGGCTTCAAAGGAGCTAGCCCGTCTTTTCTGCCATGTAGGTTAATATACACCGACCTCTAACTTCTGCATTAATAGCCCTCTGACTTTCTGAAAACCATCATCAGAACTTTTTTTTTAGCCACGTAGCTTATGAACACAGGTGGAATACAAAAGCCCTAGAAGCCCACATGCAAACCAAAAGGGCCAGCCACATAAATGTAAATACACCTGGCCAGCTGCAGCAGCAACTGCGACCCTGTCTTCACACTCAGCCTTACAAGGCCAAAGGCACCTGGGGGGGCTGTGGGGCGCTGCCACGTTGTTGTCCTGTTCACGTGGTCCACGTAAAAAATCCGTCCATGGCTGTCAATGCGAGCCTCCCAGTCTAAGTAGCAATAAAATACTGTCATCTACAGAGGGCTTGGGGTATATTTATCTATTTCTTTATTTTAGCTTTGCCACTTTTGTAACTGGATCTGTTGTTCCAAGTTTCTGTTTCTCTTTTACAGGATGACTTCAGCACAGAACTTTCTTACCGAAGCATTAAGGACATGGCTTTCCCCTATTTTACGCCATAAATCAAACTCCCCACTGGAGTGAGGTTCTGTGGAATCCACATCGAGTAATTTCTGTTCCTTTCCCTATTCTATTGCCCACTAGCCAGTAATTGTCCCAGGCGAAAAACCACCACAACAAAAAAGAAAAATGAGGATGCTTGGTCTGAATCTGTTGGACTGAAGTAATTCAAGATCCAATCTCTGAGGCTTATTCCAGTGCAAAAGGCCAACGGGTAAGTACCAAAAACCTTGCAGAACTTGACACCTGTCATTGGTTTTCCCCAGCTCCTAGTAACAGCAATAAAATAGACACCAGTGCTCTCCCTGGGTTTTCAGGTACCTATGTTAAAGGTGAGCAGATCTGCCAGAAAAGATGGACAACGGTAACAATCAGACTCCTCCGTGTACTACCAGCATGTTCCAGAACTGCCAACTCCGCAAATACCACAGCCAAGTCAACTTCCCGTGCAAGCAGTACCTATCGCGCTGTCCACGGCTTTCGCAACGCAAGCTACAGAGGATGTTGGAAGTCTAGACCTGGAGACACCCAGGGGTGCCAAGATGAAGGTGCTGGGACCCTGCCCCAGCCACATCTGGCGCTCAGCAGTAACCAGGCGCATCCCACCACCCAGGCCTTCGTTCAGCAGCTGTCTGGGTCGGAAACACTGCCTGCCTGGTCACTGGCTATAAATGAGCACGGTACCAAGGCACGGAGCCTGGCTGAGGCCACACAATAATAATACAAAAATAGTTAGGTACTTCTTATACAGAAACAGACCTGCCTGATTCTTGGCACTAGCAACTGCAGACAACATGCAAACCATGTAGCGCATCGGTTGAAAAACCGACTTTGAGAGCTCAGCCGGTTTGGAGAAGAGACCTCCCATATTGCAAGTCTAGGCAGAAACATCAGCCACTGCAGCAGCATTTTAAAAACCCCTGGCAAGCAACCAATACTAAATGACCACGGCTCTGTGAGGGAAGAGGGCACAAACACGTCTTGACAGCAGAGACAGAGAACTAAGTTCCACTGCCAAGTATTTAATACTGACAGTCCTAAAGCCGCAGGCTTGGTTACTGCACGCGTGCTGTGAGCTGCGTCAGGTCTCGGAGGCAGCCAAGGGGCTGGCTGCACCCGACTGCAGCTGCGGGGCCCCAGCCGGCCCCGGCGAGGGGGGAAGGGGGCTTCTGAGATAAACCCCATCCTGTCATCTCTGCACGGCAGCCGCGCGTCTCAGCCCGCCACCATGCAGACCGCTGCTGTCTTCACGATGCGCGATCGAAACGGCCCACTGGGGATTAAAGCACTTCTAGTGCGGACAAGAGCTACGGAGGAAAGCAAGCTCAGAGGAAGAAAAATAGTAGAGGAAATGAGAGAACCATTTTAAGAACAAATTTCAATTCCAGGAGAAAAAAATTCAGAATTTTCCATTATACTGTAAATTTAAAATACAAGTTTAAAAATAAACAAAACTACATCAATGCAAAGCTTGTGGTGCAGTCACTGTATTTGCTATTCCAAATGTAACATATTTGAAAGTTATTAAAAAATATTTCATTTACATCTCAAAAACACAAACTGAAACATTTCAACAGCCTCTGCCATTCTTTAAAGAGAAAAAAATGATTGAAACAGATGTTCCTGTGCAAAGGTCCCCTTTCAAAAAAAGTAGTATTTTCTGATGAAAGAAAAACACTCCAAATTTTTAACCAGAGTTTGTAAACAAAACAAAAGATGGCAGTATTCTGGGAAGGACAGAATTGTTCATTGGAAAAAAATACAAAACCACAAACCCAACAGTTTAAATTTGTGAATTCATCCCTCTGCTTAAATGCCCAACCCTAAACCACTGCGCAGTAGTTGAGATTTTTCTTGTGCTGATTGCGTGTCCCATTCTGACACTCAGTCACCACTTCCGTTCTGCGGTCTCGCAGAAGAAAAGCATTTTTCCTGCGTTCGGTTTGAAAGACACAAGTTTAAACACTCAGGCAATGGCTTCCGAAGCGAAGCGCCTGCGTCGGCGCTGCGAGGGACGAGGACGCCTTCCGCCAGCCCAATGCGCCTGCTCAGCTGCAAAGCCGTCGTCGCCACGCTCGTCTGGGCAAGCTTAGCTGCTGGTTTTTCCCTAGGAACGTAGGAACTGGAGCATCGTGTTGCATGTTGTAGGCAGAAATACTGGATAAATATTTCAATCCTTTCTCTTGTTCTTTAGCTTAACCTACACACAACCCAAAGCAACACACCTGGTTTTCCTTCTTAGTTTCTGGTTCTGGTGAAACAACGAATGGAATACAACGCAAATTACAAAGAAATTACTGGTTTTAACTCAAAATCATATTCCAAACATTTTCTCTAATTTTTCGCTATTAAAATATTAAAACTGTTACATATCCAAAAGCAGAGCTCTGGAGAGAAAAACTGAATCTAGGCAAATATTAGCATTTAAGGTTTTATTCCCATTAGCAGATGAATGATCTGCACAAAGCTCGCATGGGGCTTTGGCTGTGAAGGGGCAATGTGTATACGTGTGCCCAAGCACGTTAGAATATCCCACAGCCAAACCTTTTCCATTAACATGCCACTAGTTTTTATAGTTATTGCAGCACATAGTTTGCTTCTGAAACACAAAAAGCAATCCATGTATAAACTGTAGTGCCATAAAAAGCTATCTCTGTGCATTCCTCCTTCCTTACACCGATCTCTGAGTATTTCCTGTAACGTTCTCTGTCTTTTTCAGTATGGAAAGGGATAAAAATGCAACTGAAATGTATGTCTCCTAGGCATTACTCTGTTAAAAAGAGTACTGGTTTATTGAGGTGGCAGTTAATTAACTCTGGGATCTGCACGCAGGACTAATTTGTTATATGCACTGCTTACAGCAGAAGCAGCAGGGAGCCAAATCTTCTCATCACCCCAGCTTTCCAGTACACAGCTACATCCGTGTGCTGCTGTCGGGCTCCTTCCAGTTACCTTCTCCAATTGCAGAGCAAACACAGTCCCATTCCACACTGTGAAACACGGATCTATTCAGTTGACACTAAATACCTGAATTCCTGACTCCTTTGAATACAGCTTTGCCACAGACTTCAGTGGGTCTGAATTTAACTTTTTTTTGGTTTTTGCTTTAAAGTAATGTTTGCCTATTAGCTGTGTAGCTTTTTTTTTTCAGTCATTTATCCCTTCTTTAAACATCTAATACCAAATAGATTTTCACTGCCCCAAGTCTGAGCAAGTGAATCGTCCAACAGTTGGGAGCAATGCATCTTTCATATGGATCAGAGAAATGACAATTTATCTGCCAATTTAGGCTCGTCTAACTGTTACTTAATACCCAGGTTTATCTTAATTCAAGAAGTCTTCACACTGCCTCAAAAAATGCAAGGAAAACACAGACACCTTTCACATAACCCGCACAGATTAAAGATGCTAGATATTTCTTTGTACATCATCGCCATACAAGCAGTATTCAGAGATTTCCACGTGCCTGACGTCCTTCCCTCCGAGTGCCTCACACAGCATCATCACCTTCCTCCCTACCCATGTGCACCGCACCCTGCAAAGGCAGCACCATGCCCTCCTGCTGCTCCACAAACGTCACTCAGCACGTCTGTACACACCAGGCACAACCATCGCAACGCACCCGGGTCGTCTGCAGACTGAGCACAACGCCTCTGACAGAACAGCACGGGACTTCACGATCATCACTCCTCACTCAGAACTTCTCATCTGCTCATTCCAGTTCTCCCATTTAAAAAAGAAGCGTAACGAGATCTCAGTAATGAGATCCAGGCAGCCTAACCCCCAACTAAAGTATGAAGAATCTCACTTGGTGGTAGAGCCTCGTCCACTCTCTGGTACCGGCTAACATCCTGGCGTACTGAAGGCAGCGACCTCAAGGGCTGATGGCCATTGGCTTGAGAACCTGGAAGCAAAATACCCACAAATTATTTTTTCAGTCAATGTGGGGAAGCCCTAGAGTCGCCTCTAGGCAACTGAACTAGACAAGCTAAGTGAAGTGAAAAAGACACGCTAAAGCTTCTGCAGGACTACGATATCTTAGGATATACATAATATTCATCTGTTTTCTGGGGGCAAAACCAGTTATGTCTCTAATTCTAGGTAAGTGATTTCTCTGGCATGCGCTGCAGTCCTGGTCCTGAAAATGCCACCTCTTGGGACAGCATCCACCAGTGACCGGCGGAATCCGGGGCACAGGAACCACAGCGTGTGCCAGAGCCAGACCCCAGCAAGGGACAAGGACAAAGCTCCACCTGGCCACCGCAGAGACCTGCTGCAAGAGCGGGCAGCGAAGCTGCCCGTTGACCATTGACCTTCCTTGCTGCAGCCACGCTGATCTGCAAGACACAGCGCAACCGGACGCCCAACAAAAACAGAGTCCCAAATGTCTAGAAAATTAGGTGAAAGAACATATTGGCAGTATTTGAGATGAATACCAAAATTACTCTTTCCAAATCAAAGAGCCGTTTATGAAGAGAAGGAATTAACAGATCCCCAGACTTTTGAAATGTCACGAAAAAGACACTCGGAAATCCCGTCTGATTGCCCCCACTCCATTAGATTCACTTCAGTCCCGGAAGAAACTGAAAGGATAATCCACTGTGAAATGTGCGTGGAAACCATCCCTTCGGGATACATTTCTACTTTTAGTGATTTCGGTGAGACATAAAATTCTCAACTGTTAGAATAATTTTACAACTGGTAAGAGCTTCACAGTGCCAACTCGAGTAGCACACTCCTCCCCTCCCACGGTTCCAGCTGTGCTAGGATGGCTCTACACAGACAAGGGACTGGGAAAGGCAAGAGACACAGCCTGAGGTGTGACCAAAAAACAATTCTGCTCTGTTTTCCCCCCTTTCTTTTGATTACCTTTATGTTTTAATGCTAATATATGCATATGTTTTATTCCCCCTATAAACATGCCAAAGAAAAGACCCAAATATAAGCTGCAGTTTGCATTTCATGGTTTTGGATTATTTCCCCCCCATTACCATTTTGATTAACAAGCAGGGTCATACTGTGGAATTCTTTTCTCCTCCTCATCCTCCATTACCCTCTCAAGAATTAAAATATATCCAGTTTCAAAATAAACATGTCTTGGATATTTCAGGTTTGATTTTTTGTTAAGTCACAAACCCCAAGAGTCTCTTGAAGAAGTGAATAATCAAAAAGCAACAACAAAAAAACGGAAATATAATGAAACTGAGAAACGAAGATTCTTATTTTCAGACATTAATATCTAAAAATCATTTTTACTGACCGCAGCACGGTCACCTCAGGAAGTGCCTCCTGCAGTTCTTACCTCCAGTCGCTCCTTCTGCCTGCGCTGTGGCACCCTCGCAAGCCGCCTGGGCTCCTTGGGTTTCTTCATCCTGAGACTGGCTCCTGGCA